TCATGTAGTTCAAAATCGGTGAACGTTAAGTGAACATGAGTTGCCCTTATTTTTTTCTTATCATATTGTTGCGGGTTGTTTGGAGAACTTTGGCTTGCAGAAGTAACAGCTGTAAACGTTTTCTTCTATTATTTGTCAAGTAGTAGAATCAATCTTAAATAAAACTTTTGATTAAGGAAAGAAATAGACTCCCCTGTCTGCCTTATTTATCTCGGCCTTAAAATCTCTTGTTAAATATATTTTAGAGAAGTTGAATTGAATTGGCGGTTTAACACAGGTAGTGATTAATTACTCTCTAAGGTTAGGTTGAACCTTTACAGCCAAATTTATTCTAAAACAACAACAAAAAAAAAGATTAACACTTATTTTAGACCTAGTAGGACCACTCTCCTTTTGGAAGTTGTTGAACTTTGAGTTTCCTAAAGTTCGCATGGTGGGGGGAGGGAGGACAACTAAGAAACATCAGGGTGGGAAAGTGAAGAAATAAGCTGTAAATGTTATTGTTGAGATTTTGTGCTTTAGCTGCAACAAACCCCATTTAATAAACCTTAGATGTATGAAACCTTATAGTTCTGTGCCCATAGAGTTTGTTGATAGCTATATATCATGCCAGATTACTTACCCACTTAAACCCCGCATTGACACGCGTTATTGTTGCCGCAACGACGACAAAATTGTAAGTGACCAGGCCCGTCCCTCCCCCTCCGCAATCCAACGGTATTCCGGCTAATAGTCCCATCCTTATAGAGTTTGATGGTAGCCAGCACTACGGACCTACCCCACACCCTCCTCCAATAAACACTTCATTGCCAGCTGGAATTGCTCGTACTGCACCGAATTTTCAGCTTACTCGGTTTCTCTGGATATCTAGGTTGATATTTTGAGGTATTGATCACGCTTAACTAAACTAGCTGGCGGGCACTTTTTTGGTGAGATAACAGTATCTAGCCTTTTTGTGGAGTTATACCTTCGGCAACAGCTGTTATTTTTCCTTCCCCTTTTAAGGTGGTCACAAAAATCGTTTTCAAACCTAGAATCTGAGAGGTTTATCATTTATTTTACTTCAGTTGAAAGACATTTTGAATGATGAAAGGATATTGATGCGCTATTGAAAACCAGTTGTAAGGATGGGTCAATTTTAACATAGATAACCCTCTCAAAGCCACCATGGAATCATGGAATCAGTATCTTTGATGGTTTTCATAGTGTGCCTCTTACTCGGTAAGTCAACGTCAGATGAGCTACTTTCTCATTGTACACTGAATTACTTGTTCTCAAATCTTAGGGCTGATTTATGAGACCCCCTAAAAACCTTAACTCAAAACTAAATGTGATTTGCTTCGGTTATCAATACAAATAGTTTCATATTAATGTTGCATGAGTTATCGTGTAGTTATTTATTTCGGCCGCAGTGGAAATAGATTTCCAGAACTTGCATAGAAACTACAATTGACAGCTATCCTACGCAACAAACTCTTCGTTTAAGATTCCTCACCTTTTTTTCAGAACGTTCCAGTTTTACGAGGTTCGAATAGTAAATTTGATTTCCCTCTAACACATGTTAATACAACTATCATGAAGACCAGCGTAGTTATAATTTCTCACAGGCCTTTGCACATGCAACTACATACAAAAGCGTTTGCTGACGTCACTCGGATAAAGTTATTTATCGATGTACTCCAAGGACTACTTTGTGCGTGAATGTTTTCCAGTTTTCTACCTCGAGAAGCCACATTTGACTTTTCATAATTTAAGAAAACCACTATAGAAATGAATGCCAGTCGATTATTTCATAAACCAGTTAATTTTACCTCTTACTCAACATCACAGCAAGTTTATTTACTTAGTAAATTGATGCCAGAAGATTCGGGACGTTGATTAATCGGTGAAGGAAAACTTAACTTTTTCACCACTGCATTAGTTCAGTTATTCCAAACACGCTGCAAAATTAGTTTAGGGATCAGCCACGATTTATCTCCGGGTTGGGTGGGGGGGGGGGGGGGGTTTGCAGGACTTTGGGAGATCACATGGTCTATGAGGAAAATAGGGGATTAGTCGTCGTATTCTCTTAACATTTGGAAAAAAAAACCCTATTGACAGTCATTCAGAGGACACGTGTAAACTAAATGTGCTCGACTTCTGCTCAGAGGAAAGTCCCTCATCGACCACTAGATTTTCGTCATAATTTATATTTACTGTAATTTTGACCTTCGGTTGATCGAATGCTGGATATCAACTAAATCAAACCCTCCACCCCCTCCCTCCCGTTCCTAACTCGAACCAGCTATCGTTTTACTGCGTGATATGGTGTAATCTTACCCTTGATAACACGAACTAAGTTTGGTATTATTAAGCAGGCTCTCAAAACATCACGAGGACATCAACAACTGTATTTACAACGGCTAATGCTGACCGTGTTTGTTCTGACATGACATTGATTAATTGATTTTTCCTCTACGAAAAATTTTTCCATTAAAATGAAACAGCTACAGCCTATAAGCCCAGGGAAAAATCACGAAAGTAATTGGCACAGAGATCTTAAAGTCAGCGATCAATGCTGTCCTTGAAACACAACAGTTAACTCCCTGGAATAAGTAAGTACGTGACTTTAAGTTTTACTTAATTAAATTTGTATCTGAGCTTTTGGCTTGCGACACAATTCAGTCAGGTGCGCTGAATAATACGTAAAGTAGTTTGTAAGCAAAGGAAGTGAAACTTTTTTGTCAGAAGTAATTCCCGGACAGAACATTTCATCAAAAGACTACATATTAATCAAGGCTCAAAATTTTAAGGAAAGACAAACTGGCATAACATCAGTGTCACGCTATTATGCTACATATCTTTTGTAGTATCAAAGTCTTCGCTCTATCTTTGAACACAGGGCGAAGTCTGCAAAGCCATCCCATATCTTTCCCCCGCCAGGCTTTTATTTCAATCAAACGACCCTCGAGAAAATACTGAGTTATGTGTTCAACTTAAGTCCCAATGAACACTTCTAGAATAGAAAATCGTTCTGAAGAGGCTGACCGCCAGCTAGCTATAGAAGCTGTCAACATTGCTCGCTAATTTAATTATCTTGGCTCTTTTTTAAAATAGTGAGTAAGTCCAACCTGATCAATTTTCCCGAACTCCTTTTTTTCCCTTCATCATTGGCAAGAAAAATGTTTCAAAAATATTATTTCCCGATAAAATGCTCGCCCACAACAAAACAATAATCGGGCTGCGTGACAATGCGTTTGTTTACAAATGGAAAACCATATTTGCATAACTTGATATTTAAATTGCATGGATAGTGCTTCATATGGGAATCGATTGGCGAGCGCATGACCACTTAAACATTGCTTTAACGCCTGGCTTCAACGTTTATTATTTCTTCTCGGGTTTAATACTTTTGTCAAGCAGTCTACTCTGACACGCACAATTTCTTTTATTGACTGAACATCTCGCCAGATAGCCTTATGGCCAACTGTTCAACAGAGGCAGAAATACCTCTGAATCAAATCGACGGCGATCCTGAAGTGAATACGTCTGGAAAAGGAGAATTTAAAGGAATATTCTTCGACAAAGTCAAACTAATAGCTGCGGCCGTTGTTCTAGTTATCTTGTTGATCATTATTATTGTCCTTGCCGCCGTCCTTGGTCAAGAGCGTGCTAGAAGAGGAAAAGATGAGATCCGTAAGTGTGGCAAATAATTGTTATTCTTTCGAGACATGCCAGTCTCAGGTTCATTTCAACTCTGATTGCCAGGAATGTCCCCTAAATTCTCTTAGTAAACTACTGTACTGTCGCTTAGATAAATGGTACTTTATGCAATTAAGCTGTAATATTATTGACATCTTTATTTGCTGAATGTTGGTGGATAGGATACATTACTATCGATGACTAAACTCGATGAAAATTTTAATCAGTGCAGTACCAGGAACATTTTTTAACGTCACCCTGAAGCTTCGATTTATTCATAGTATGAATTTCTATAAATTGAATAATTTATCACCGCGTTAGCTTCCAACTTGAAGAAATCAAAACCTACTTGGTATGCAAATTACACGGTGACACCTGAATATTTATTATTTTTCTGTACCGGTAAACAAACAGGTCCAAATATAGGTTGATCCACGGGTTCACCTGCCTACGAAACAGCTTTGACAGTTTAAACGTTTTTTCATAGAGAAGAAAGATTTGGAAAAGGTGGCTGCAATGATGTAAGCGATGTCGGAGTAAAATATGAAGAATATGGCTTTCCGTGATTCCAGTAACATAGCTTAAGTGATGTATAGGACCTGTTTTATTAATAAACATAATATCCATGTATATATTCATAAATTCTTTGAATTTCTTTTCACAACCACTCTGTTTCCATTACAATTTTTGTCATCCTTTTATTCTTCTTTGTATTCTACGCTGCAGATGATTCAGTGTCTGCTCTGAATTTTCTAGAACTCGCTACCTCAACGGTAGAAATAATTATCAAACTAAACCGTTGTAATGTGAAACACAAAGCACGTTTTGATAGATAAGGGAACATTTCAGAGGCTCTGCAACGCGTGTTATCAAAATTGACACAACAGATATGTGGGGCGAATGTTTTTCTGTAAATCCTTTCGTTTTCCAGTTTACTTCATTTTTTGGTGTGTTTATGTTGTGTTTTTTATTTTCAGATACTACTTCAAGTAGATCGCAGAAGGTGTTATACAGAAAATAATTCTAAATTTTCCCTACATCTTAACCTAATGTTCTTGATATGTCGATCGTACTTTTGACGCCGTACCCGTAAGAGCAGCAACACAAGGGATACTATGACTCAATTTAATCTGATACTTATCAAGAGCTGTATTATAAGAGAAGATAGCTAGTAATTGTCCGTAATTGATTAGTACTGCGACTTGAAAGGATTGAATGTAATGTAATGTGTGTAACGACATAACTGCGCGAGTGAAACATTCCTTAATTATCAATGCAGCGATACAAAAAATATAACCTAAATTAATTAGTCCAATCAACTTCAGTTGTCATATGTATTTTTCTACGCTTTAATTTTCTACTTTCAAAGTTGTTCAATCAATTTATCTTAACTGTTCATCAATGTTATTACACAGATCCCGGAGGTGAGACTGAGGAGGAGAAAGAAGGCGGGAGTCCGACCCCTCCTGGCCCAACTACAGCAGGCCCAGAGCCCTGGTGGAGAATTCGGCTTCCTGATAATGTGATACCATTTCATTATGATCTCACCTTACACATCGACATGAATAAGCCGAACTTCAAAGGCAAAGTGAAAATTTGGTTCAATGTCACGAGTCCCACGCCTTACGTACTAGTTCATGCTCTCGACATGAACTTTACTGCAAATGAAGTCAGGAAACTTTCCGGCGGTAAGCTAAATTTAAATGCATCGCTTCAAGATGTTTGAATGAATAGAAACGGAGCCTGAAAACCCATTTATTCATGATAGCTTTTAATAGTTTTTCAAATTATTTTACAATTTCCTAGAGATTTTGTTTTTAAGTTTAAACGGCAGAGATCTCCATGATATATAGGATTGTATAACGCTTAGAGGCTTGCAATAAGCGCCATAAAAATTGTATATATTACTACAATATCTTATCATTATTATTATTATTATAAATAAGATGGTGACGACTGCGCACAGCCTTTCCTCTCCTAATAATGTACATGAAAATTTTACGCGCTTCTTATTGGCTGAAAACAAGTGCATTCTCATGTAACACGAGTGCCAAGTCGTAACACGAGTGCAAATTACAAATAGTGCGTGCACACTTTCAAAATTTCGTCTGTCTTGCCTTTCTGTGATTTTTTTTCATGTAAATTACTAACAAGTAATAAAGTTATTTCTCTTGCAAATTGTTGTAATGGATACTTGTAAATTTTTCAACGACTACAAATAACACACGCACGACGGGCTCGTGTAATTTTGTTGCCTTTGCAAAATTTACTCGTGCTTATTAACACCAAATTGCACTCTAAATAATGTTACTACTTTGACAAATGTCAATTATCAACAAGAAACAAGAGAGAATCATATCATGGTGTCAAAAGGCCTTGCGGTGCCAAGTTTGACGCCGTTCATCTTACCTATAAAAATAACAATTTTTTTTTCTGAAGCTTTCAGTGGGTGGAATTTAAAATTCTCGAATCTGATTGGCTAATCGCGCGCGTAACTGGTCTTCGTTTTACAATTTAGACGAGGTTCCAAAATTTTGTCCGCGCCATTCCAGGCAAAGTTAAATAAAAGGCAAAGAGGCACAAAAAGTAAATAAGGTGGGTGCGTATAGGAAACAATTCTTCCCTCGGTAACAGTTTTCTCCCATATGGACCTCTCGTCCTGTAAATAACACATATTTACTTGATTAAAGCACAAGAGTTAATGTCGAATATATCACGCATTGCTTTATTTCCTGTTTTCTTTAAGGGCCCATTCCGATCAAGCGATATTTCAAGTTTGAAAAGAATCAATTCCTCGTCACAGAGCTAGAGACGTCATTGGATAGAGATCAATATACTATGACATTGGAATACTCTGGAGAATATGGAAAAGACCTGAGGGGAATGTACAAATCCTCCTTCATAGACGAGAATGGAAAGGAATCGTAAGTACCTGCCCTGTCAGTATATATAGAAAATTAGATTGTTTGATAACATGCCTTAATGTTTCTTTATTTTCCTTTCAAACCCGTAACTCTTGAAGTAAAGTTCAGTAGCGGCGTTGAAAACTTTATTAGCTGTTGTTTTTCTTTTAGATTTTTCACCGCCACTCAATTTGAACCCTTGAGAGCGCGCCGAGCGTTTCCATGCTTCGACGAGCCCGCGATGAAGGCGACTTTTAACGTGACTCTGGTTCATGATCCAAATCTAATCGCTTTGTCCAACATGCCAATCTATCGAAGCCAAATTGATGATGGATGGAAATATGATCACTTCAGAAAGACGGTCAAGATGTCTACTTATCTGGCCGCCTTTGCCGTGGGTGACTTTAAGTACAAGGAGACCAAAACAGGCAGTGGCATACAGGTACACATCCTAGTAAAATTTTTTTCTAATGGTAGGGGAGGGGATCACTTAACGATTAGCTGATGTACCCTCGTACCCAGGCCCAAGTGGTGGTCACTGAATTCTTCTCTTGCATGGGTAAGACAGTGCGTCTCTCCGGCTGATGTATGAATGGGAGGCGTCAAACTGTTAAGATGTTAAGAAGTGAACCTCTTTGATGGACCAGAATCCCCTCAAGCGAGAGTATCAATAATCGTAGCCTGGTAAACCGCGATGAGCTCCAGTGATGTGGGCGAATAGGCTTGTGAAAAGACACCGACTACTTTGTTTATTATTCATCCTATATCAACGCACATTTCAAATCGTACATTTTTGCTGTGTATTTATCGAGTACTAATTCACAACTTAAATGAAATTGACTGTTCAAAACGCTTAGTTCCTGACACGGTTTCTCTTCTCACTCTTCTCTAATAACCATAGGAAATTAAGAAATCAGTTCATTCCTACTCTGTTATCAGCATGCTATGATGTTTGTTCGTAGATAAGAGTGTACGCAAGACCAGATGTTCTTGATCAAGTGGACTACGCTTTAAAAGTGTCAAACGAGACATTTATATACTTTGAAGAGTTCTTTGGTGTTCCATATTCGTTACCAAAGTCAGGTAAACACTAACTGAGTTTGCAAACTATTCATGAAGACTTTTACGGATAATACGTGTCCCCTGTTAACAATGGGGATTCCCTACTGTTAGATGTAATTGACACAGTAATGAAGTCATTACTATTATTATCACAGGTGCCTATTGGCTTCTTATTTGAGGTTTTTTTCTTTTTTCACAGAGACTGAATTACCGAGAATTTAGAATAATACGGTCGTTGCTAGTAATACTAATTTCAGATCACAAGCATAGTAATGTTTTGAGTTAATCGGCTTGCAGATGGAATCGCACTTCCGGTATTTGGTCCTTCCGGAATGGAAAACTGGGGCCTTATTAAATACCGTGAGACAAATTTGCTGTTAATGGAAGGTGAGACTTCATCTTCGTCAAAAGAGAGCATCGCAAAACTAGTGGCTCATGAAGTAGGACATCAGGTAAAATTTCTGTACTTGAGCAAAATTCTACTAGAGAAGCAGGGCAAGTTCTGTGGTCTTCCTGTTCCAAACTCTTAGCTGGGGGGCTATTGTTCTGAGAAAAGGTTATCAAATAACATGAACAGTTCATGTAACCCTTAATGTAGCAGTATATTTATTGTAATTTGATAATCAGGCCCTCCGTATTTTCCAACTAAGTAAGTAGCCTAAATTTCAATAAGCTTAGAAACCAAGCACGCAATGGGTGTTTACAACTTTGTTACCACCCTTCCCGTAACTTTATCTCTACCCGAAGGGGCATTACCCCGAGTGTCGCCTGGTGACGTAAGAAACCCCTTTTAGAGAGAATTTTTGAAGACGGTCATTATACTTTTTGGGGGAAGTAGACATGTAATGACAGTTTGAAATTCTGCCCTATGTGTATTTCTGACTTTCACAAGTGGTAGGTTACGGTCGTTACGTTCTATATATATTTACTAACATAGTTCTACCACTTTTCCATCTTTGTCTCCAGTGGTTTGGTAATATTGTTACCATGGAATGGTGGACAGATCTGTGGTTAAACGAAGGATTTGCTACTTACGTCAGTTCGATTGGAATGGATCACGTTCATCCCGAATGGAATATCGTAAGTTCTTTGCTTAAAAATGTATTCTGCATATCGTCGCTATTTTGAAAGATCACTAGTTCAGCTTAAAGTAAGATATCAATGACCACAAATTCCCTTTCTGTTTCAGATCGACCAGTTTATCGTCATAGCAGTTCAAGATACTTTGCAGCTGGACGGATTAGCAAGTTCTCACCCAGTTAGGATTCCTGTTGAAGATCCCCAGAAAATTGGAGAAATCTTTGATGCCATCTCGTACAAAAAGGTATCACTATGAGTTTGGCATGGTGACTTGTTAAGTCTCGAAATTGTAGCTTCTCCAAATTGCTAGTCCAGCTTCAGCCACATGCTACTAAGGTAGTACCTTGTGTTGCTGGGATACATTGATTAATATTCATCAGAATACAAGCTCTCGGTTTCTTGAAATTCACTAATATTCGATTCAAAGCTAACATCTCTTCCCAAAACAACCTAATATTTCGAGCCCTACGATATTTACCTAGCTACAATTTCATTTTTATTGGAGGTTCAGAAAAATGGATTCTGTCTGAGCCGCATTAGTTGTTTGAGATGTATGTTTTCGAACCTTTTGCGTGATGTGTTGTAAAACTTCTTATGTCTCATTGGTATTGCTTTGTTTTCATTTTTCTTGTCTGTTTGCCTGTTTTTTTGCTTGTTCCCTTTTTTTTTCTGAAATGCGATAGAAAATTCATCCAGAGATTCAACTCTCGTCAATGACTATAGTTCTGTTAAACTCAAAACCAGTTATTCAACTTAGATGTTGATTATAGCTGATGAAAAGGAGGCACGTTTTCTTAATAACAAGTGTAACCCTTGTACAACTACAATCTATTTTGAGCTTTTCCTCTTTTTGTCCACAGGGTGCTTCCATTTTATTGATGCTTCATTATTATCTAGGAAACGAAGTATTCCGCGATGGATTAAAGGTGCGTTTTCAATGCGTTCTTTTTATCTTCCATTCACTCTCTCCATTCCCAGTTTGAATTTTAAAAACCATTATTTAAAAACACGCTGCGACTGTTTTTCATTTTCTTTCATATGATTATCATGGTTGATTATATTTTGATATGCGTTGTATATTCTATTATTTTACTTGCTCAAAAATAGAGATATCTTACCAAGCATGCTTATGCAAACGCTGAAACAGACGACTTATGGAATGCAATGACAGAGGTGAGCTTTGAACGTTGTTTCTAAGAGTGAGCACAAAACTGAAATTATGAATAAATGGCCAATTTATTTAATATTTCGATTGGTATTTATTACCCAATACTTGTTTAATAATTTTATTGGCCAGTCTGATTGTTGGCAAACCAAGTTTAGGATTTCAAACGTGGCTAATAACCTGGGCAACGAAGGTCCAATCCGGAAGTCCCGAGTCCGTCTTCAATTATTCCATCTATTTGTCCATCTCTCAGGAGTTCCGAGTCTGATTACACGTTTGCGCGTGTAACTTGTCACCTGGTTTGTTTCACTTGTTCGTCATCTTTTGCAGAGTGCAAGACGACCAAATGAATTTGTAGTAAAGAAAGCACAATTTTAACCTTAAAATTTCATGAAGTATTTGTGCTCTGTGGTACTCCAGCGTAATGAGTCTTAATTACTCATTGCACATCATAAATACGTTGGCAAAAGATAATTATAATTTGCCGATAGGAAATAATTCAATTGGCTCTCTCTTTTTCAAAGGCAAATAAGGCTGCTGGAAAGACGATGGACGTAGGCAAGATAATGAACACCTTCACGCTGCAAATGGGGTACCCTGTGGTAACCATAACAGCCACAGAAACACCAAACACGTATCAAGCAACCCAAGACCGTTTTCTTTACTACAAAGATCCAAAAGCAAACTACTCGTCTTCCCAGTACAAGTAAGCGACATTATCCAGAATTTTTTTCACCTCATTGAAGTTTAACGATAGGGGAGGATTGGAAAATACTCCATAAATGACCGCCTGCATTATCTGACTGCATAAAGACAAGATGAGCGCAAGGACAAGAACTAAAAAATTTGAACCTTGAGGACAAATTCTTTTAAAAGTCCTTAAAATATAACAGGATCAACACAGAGCACAGTAACGACCTCAGCTAATGTTTATTCTTTAATCAATTGGCGCAAAATAATTATATTAGTCGACATGACGCCGAAGTTTTTCCTCCCGGCAACTTGGGAAAAGTGTACCCTGTCCAATTAATCAATCAATATATCTATATATGTCTATTTAACAAATAGATTCCAAGTTGCCGTGCGTCTATTCAGTAATAAATCACAGATGACGTCAAAATGTGGTAAGAACAAAAAAAGTGGCACACGAGGCGCAGCCGAAGGTGTCACTGATGTTCTTACCACATTTTGACGTCCTCTGTGAGCTATTACTGAACAGACGCACGGCAACTTGGAATCTACTTGTTTTATATAATAAAGAATGAAAAAAAGGTTTTAATGATGACGTCATCTATACGTCTGTCCTTCAATAGATCATAAGTGAGAACCAATCAGAATGCGAGCATAACTGAGCTTATTATATAAATATATATATATATACACACACATATTATAAAGCTCTCTATTTAATTATATATGTATATTATAAAGCTCTGCTCTACAATCTACTGATCTAATCTAACGTTGCTTTGTTTTAGTTACAAGTGGGTCATTCCATTTACCTACTACACTGGATCAAGAAAATCTAATAATCCTCCAACAGATACGATGTCAAAAATAATAGACAAAGAAACAGGTAAATATCGAAGGGGGCCGTTGTTTTAATCTCTCACACGGTGAATTTTTTTGTAGAGCATCACGTTCTGAAAGTGGGGAATGGGTTTCAGGCGACATGCAGGGTCTGATTTAATTCGTTTCGTAGTTGTTTGACTTGGTTATTCCCTGTTAGCTCTTGATCTTTAATTTGTAAGCAGATTTGTAAACGATATACAAGTAAAGAATGTTATGATATCAGCGTCAGTGGAATAAGGGTTATAATCCAAGGGCTTACGGCCAGATAAGTAATGGAAATATGTAGTATTCGATATACATGTATTTGTTAACATTATAAGTGTATTGCAGTTAGTTTGAATTGGGATGGAAATGGATGGATAAAAGGAAATATTGGGCAGACTGGTTTCTACCGCGTCAATTACGAAGAAAAAAACTGGGATATGCTGGCTGAGCAGCTTAAAAATAATTACAAGGTAATATATAGAGAATAATACATAGGCGTGTGTAGATATGGAATTCCTCTTCAAGTGGTTAACTCGTCGACAGCTCACAAGTGAGCGCATCAAACGAATGAGATGTCGAGTTGAACACGAGAAGAGAAATTTCATATCTGCAAGTGACCATGTATTTTTTTTGTTTATCATATAACCACGAAAGCCCTTCACTGAAAAGAAAAGTCAACTTTATAAATGAATAAAAATAAAAGGGTCGACAATCCACGAACAAAATCGTAAAGTGCGTTGGCGCTAAGGCATAAGATGAAAAAATGCATTGAAACACTACAAAAATAGACTATGGGCGTAATTTTCAATATACAAAACTGTCAGTTATTGAATTGGTCCCTACCGACAGAAGAAATCTTTCAGGTATACGGTCAAAATCGGCCTGTGGAAAATCTTTCAGTTGTCGGTTTTCGTTCTCAGCCTCGAGAAATGCCATTACCAAAGCCACTGAATTCGAATAGCTTTCGGTTTTTCTTTCCGTATTTTGGTTTTCTTCCCCTTCTTGAGAAGCTTGATTGTCACTGTCTGTAAGTGATACGGATTTTTCAGTGTTTTAGCTGCCGTAATCCCAAAAAATTCCGTCAAAAATGACCTTGGATTGAGGATGGTGAAGGCTTCGCCGTTCATTCATCAACGAAACCGAGTGGCGCGAAATGCGAGTGACGTGTCAGCAGCTGATTGGCGATATCAAACATACCTGAAAAAATACGACATTATATCTCGTGTGTTGCACGGCTTTTTTCAGGGCTCGGAATTCTTGTATAACGCCGTACTTTATATGATAAAATGCAATAATATAGAGAAGGCTTTCAATCAGTATGTCATTTAGTCAAACATGTAGTCATTGACCGTCAATTTAGGTAGAGTTCATCCCCCGACAATAGACTGGCATGGACTGTTCAATCAAGCACAATTTGTAGATTTGTTAAGCGAGTGTATGATCTATACATCAAGTTGGACGGTAGCTAGCTATAGTTCTTAAATAATTTTTCAACACCTGAACTGCATAAATGGACCATTCAATCACTTACAGGTCTTTAACGCCACAGATCGCGCAGGGCTTATAGATGATTCATTCAACTTGGCCAGGTGATAAAATTATAATCCTCAAACTTACATTGGTTGGTAGATTGTTAACTAAAGTTTTACGGGTTTTTTAGCTTGTCTCTGTTTGATTACTTCCATGTTTCTTATATGTGATATGGCTGTTTTCCCATTAGAAACATGGGTTGCAAGTTTTGAGAATTTTCTTCGAAAAGTAGATCGTGATCAGATAAAATGATAAATGATTCAAAACCTTTTTATTCCTAGGAGTGACCAAAAAAAACTTTCTCCTCGCAACATCGATAAATTTTCATGCAGAAAGCTCCTGTTAGACGATATCATGAAATGTAATTAAATTAAATAAAAATGCAGACAATGGATATAATTTATCTTAAGGATTCGGATGTGAAAGAGTTCATAACATTCTTAGTTGTGACTCATGTTGAGCGCTATGGTTTGGAAAAAAAAAATGTTCTGTTCTTGATTTTAGAGCCAACTTATTAAATCACACAAAACCTCTTAGTATATCAAGTTATCTGGACAAGGAAGAGGACTACGTTCCAATGCTATCCGCGTTGAGAAAATTTTCACATATATTAGAGATCGTTCCCTCCACGAGACCAGCCCACAAATATTTACAGGTAGGGATGTAAGCTCGATTTAATCTTTTCTTTTCTAGCTCTGGATTTTCAAGCTGGCGATTTAAGTCAGAAATTTTCAGCGGTATTAAAATGAATTTAGAGGGTATGATAAGGTAAAGCTGAAGTTTTACTCAGCATGAGCAGCCTTAAAAAAAAATTAACGCTCCTAGCTTACCATTTTTTTTACCAAAGAAAGGAAGTCTTTCGATGGCATTATTTCATCTGTTTTTAAGACGATAGAAAAGAACCACCAGTTCTTGATAAACCCTCTTCAGTACTATTAATTAGAGGGCTGTCTTTTTTTCTTTTAGATGTATGTGGAATATTTAACAAAGACTCAGTACGACAAGCTTGGAATCAAAGATCAAGGAACGCATCTTGACAAGTATGAATCCATACATACATCATCTTATTTACACATTCATTCATTTATCCATCCATATCAGATCATGATTTGTTGCAAGTCAATTTTTCAATCCTTATACACTTCGTTCTAATCTGTTTCTTGGTAGCTGAGTTTAAAAATGTATGAAGCAAAGAGCTCACTTTAGGGGAAAATGCATGGTTATCCTCGTTGTTAGACTAAACTGCCTGTAGAAGACACACACCCAAGATGCAGAGTATTTTGTTCGTTTTTTTTTTCAAGATTTCTGAGAACTATTCTCCTCGATGCTAATTGTGAGGCTGGGGTCAGGTCATGTCTGGGAAATATGACGAAAATGTTTCAAGAATGGATGAATGACCCGGTCAAGAACGCGTGAGTACTCTCCATTACATTCACCAATTCTAGAACTGCTACAGTTTCTCGTTGAAGCTGCTGACTAACGAGATTTTCTCGGCTGTGGGTTTTGCTTTCCGATAGTTTTCATATCCTCCAGCTGTTCTTTTCATCGATTGTACCGAAAGGTCGGTAACTCCTCCAGTTTCTTCGATAGGTCAACAGCTTTAAAAAAAAAACGCCCAAGCATTGTGATAGGTTACACGTTGTGGAGAAACATTTATTTATTATGAAGGCGACTTTCAAATTGTTGAACCCTTAAGGCACAGACATGGCGGAAGTTGTGCCGTTCATATAATGCTACTCTTAAATGTCAAATTCGCTTCATTTTCAATCTATATTTCCATACATCAGAGTTGTGACTTTCACCCAGCTGACTTTAGATCAATTCTTTTTCCTCTCATGTGAAATCAAAGTCAGCGATGATTTGAACAATGATTTAGATGTCTGTGATTGACCTGCCACTTTCATTAGAGCCTTACTTACATATTATTGGACGGCTTCACTTTGTAGTGTACCAGCAGATCTCAAAGCCTTAGTTTACCATTTTGGAATAGTGACTGGTGGAGAGAAGGAATGGAACTTCGCTTACAATCAGTTTAAAACTACGACTGTAATCTCAGATAAAAATACACTGCTTTACGCCATGGCAGGATCACAACAGCCTTGGATTATCCAGAGGTAAACGCTAATCAATTTTCAAATAGCTGTTGTTGAAGCAATACCAAGGATCCTTATTTTGAACGAATATTATTCATTTTTTTCCTCGGTTTTTTCATGAGTTTTGGTATGATTAAAAAAGGGAACACCTACGATAAAAACTTTGTATTCCTAAAGTTCCACGGCTAAGAAAAATTTGGTCGATTCTTGGAGAAAAGTATTCAGTCCAGGAGGTGTTAGCTGCAGTTCCAACCAAACCCTTCATTTTTTGGAGATATCTACACTGCTTTGAGTGACAAGGTTGGCCAGATCCTTGTAAAGTAACGTAACCAGCAAGCACGTTACTTTGTAAAGTGACGTAACTAGTGAACATTTTACCTTAAAAAGTGAAGTAACTGCTAAACGCGTGAAACGGCCCAATTCACGGAAACATTTTAAATTAGAAGTAGGTCAATAGATATGGCCTCGAGGCTAATTCGATGATGATTTTTTAAATTGGGCTATTTGGAAACAGCGTGAACAACTAGAAATCTGTGTTTCGTTTTCCTTCTAAAGGGTATCAGATCTTTGTTTAAAAATGTCAAACAATTCCAAAAATGAAATTGGTTCTAGTGGAAAATTCTCTGAGTTTGTGCATGCTTGAATGTTAATGTATTTTAGTATGTTACTGAAAAACAAACAGTTCTAAACAAACATTGAATATATTCAAAAGGTTTGTATGAAGTTTTCAGCGGTATTTTGGTAAAAATTTCCGACTGCCGGACGTTTAGTCCGTTTGAGAACGTACCGGCAATCTGATCCGAAGTGTACAATTTCTAAGGTCGACAATCAAGCTCGGAAAAATTGTCTACTTAAACCCAAATTAGTTTTTGGAATCGCGTGACATTTCTATACCAAACTCTGATACTCTTAAGAAGTTTCAGAGAAGCTTTCAATAGAACTTTGGTGAAAATGTCAAACTGCCGGGCATCTAATCCATTCGAGACCGTGCCAGATAGTCTGATCAGAAGCGTAGAATTCCTAAGTGTCGACAACCCAGCGATAATAAAATATACTTCTTTACATTTTCAGGTACTTGGAGTATACTTTGGATCCCTCGAAAATCTCTCCCCGCAATCTAGTTTATGTGATGTACTACATTGCTAAAAGTAACGAAATGGGTGCCAACGTAGCGTGGAATTTCTTCCAGTTGAAATGGAATGCAATATCCAAAATGTGAGTATGAGAAAAGTGATTGCTGTAAAAATCACTTGCAAGATACTTAAAATAGATTTGACACTTAATTTCCATTAAGGATAAGCTGGTGATATCTCTCTATTTAAATTCCAAGGAACAAAGATTTTTGTTCTTGTTCACTCGAGAAAATGAAATTGCGCACATTGAAAATAACCAAAAAAATTGATAAAAAAATGTATGTGTGTATCTCAGTTATCTAATTAATTTCCAATTATTATTGCAGGTATGGAGGTTCGTATATGACTTTAAGGCGTTTTATTCCTTTCGTGTCCAGGCGATTCTCTACAGATTTCGAGTTACAGCAGGTAAACTTAACGATATTATTTTGCTAAAGGTTAATATCTTATGAAGCTATATCATTTTATTTGACATGCGAAAAAACCTTGCGTGTTTTATGAGCCACAATTCGGCCAGATTTCACTGGACATTTCATTTTCAGATTCTGTATTAAGACTACGAAATTCCGGCAATGTGTTAGATTAGACTAGCCGAACTATTTTAGTTTGTGAACTACTGCAGATTGTGAACTTTGATGGTTTGCGAACTTTTGAACTCTTGTTTAACTCGTTCAACCAATCGGATTATTTAAATCTCTCTAACAAGGATTCTGATTGGCTTATTGTGGCGTGCTTTATGAGAATAGAGAGCTTGCTGACGACACTGTTGTTCGCTCTGGAAATAAAATTTTGCATGGAAAATTGAAGTAATGCTTGGGGAATTTTACAGACTCTTTATTATAAAACAAGTAGAGAAGCCTAAACTGTGCTCTGCTTTGTTGTAAAGCACTTAGGAAGCGGCTAGAGCACCCCAGAGGTGGAGAGACACACTCGACTACGTATTTCTCCTTACACTTCCTGCGTGCTTTATAACTTGAAACATAACAGAGCGCAGCACAGGCTTCCCTATTTGTTAAATTGTGTCGTTAAGTTGTGTTTACCAGTAATTTACTTCCAGAATTACAGCTTGATGAGTTTTTGGGAATATGTTGCGCCATGGTTTTTCCGTCAGATTTGAACAAACTTTACCTGAAAAGTTTAAAAGGAGTTTTGTAATTACTGCACTGTTTCCCCTTTTTTCTCTTTCAGCTGCTTGATTTCATCCAGACGGTAAATAAGGGTGGACCCTTATCATGGACGGTGCAACAGTCGATAGAAAAAGTAAAAGAAAATATACAATGGCGAAAAACCAATGAGAATGACGTTGAGTCCTGGTTAAAGGATTTCTTTGCTCAAAAGTCCAAGAAAGATACTGATGACGGTTTTACTGATCCGGCAAAATAGGCGACGAATTCCTCTGAATAATCATGATTACACTACCTTCAAAAACTCATTAATAATTCATAATCCCATTAACCTATTAAATGGTAGATAATACATCACGTGCAGTGACTTTATATCGATAAACCTCATCCTTATTAGTATGCGGTGTTTTATCAGATATAAAGACACTGCACGTGACTTATGAATAATTAATTATCAACACAGAAACTGACACAACAAATGGTGGGAACATATTTAATGTTCTTTCAACAAATTTCACACAGTAAATTTACTTTTGTACCAAATTAATAGTACAGTTGTGAAATACACATCTGGAAAAATTCTCTATTCCATTAGTACAGTAATCTGGTAAAGGCACATTAGACAATACATCATCTGAAACTTCGAATTCAAGATTAGTTGGCAGAAGTGACTCCAACTCGTTTTCGCTAACCTCTGCGTTTGACCTTTTCGTATGCTAATTTATAACGTTCACAAAAGCATAATTGTTATGAACTCTCTTGACACACGCTTTTCCAAGAATGTTTTTGAAGCCGTTCAAAAAACTCGCAGCACGTGTTTTATCGGGTCAAAAACCACTCGGCTACGCCTCGTGGTTTTAAACCCGATAAAACACTCCTGCTCGTTTTTTAAACATTACATAAATTTAGACGCAAAAATATTGCTTCGCGTGCAAGAAGTTCAAGAACTTTATCACTGTGACCCACTTGTTTATTTAAGGCTTTATGTGCGAGTTTACCACTTCAATTATTTCTTGTATCCTTTGATATTTTCATATGAATAGTAGCTAAACTTTTCAATTGTATCAAGTTTCCTTTTGTGATAGTTATTAAATCATTGTTCTTCAGTACATCACTTTCGCTTGTTGAAAATAATTTGCTATCCGTCACAAGAATCACTGTTTTGGTTGATGCAGTAATCAAAAAGGAGATAGCAAGGCAGAAGGTTGTGTTGACACGTTTATTCCGGTCTGTTCCTTCCAAGTCGATCATGCGCACTTGCAAACTGATCACTGGCTATTGCTGACAATGCAGATATTTCCATCGCTAGTGCAAATGACGCGATTATTTCTGCAAAGCGATAAATGCGACCCTGAAAGATGGAAAAATACATTGACATAATATTTGGTAATGCAAATATAGATACATCAAGTTTACTTGTACTTTATGGGGAAGTGTTCTGAAAAAGTGCTCAGAAATTTACAGCGCGATTGTGATGGCGAAAGAACCGTGTACATTGGAAAATACTCTCAAAATCACATGGCGCCTACGAAATATCTCAGTAGTTTACGCCGAAAATCTGTGCAGGTTTTAGGGTTAATGCCTAATCGTTTTACTATTACAATGCATGAGATAAAAAAAGTCAACAGCCTCCTTATCACCTTTCCTAAGCATCCTAGCATATTCAGCGATTCTTTGGCGGTCGGTGTGTATGTTCCACCTCCCACTGTTCCAATTAACAGGGTGGGGAGAACGAGACACGCATAGATACCAGCTTCACTTTTCATTCCAGCATTCCCTAAAATAACAAAGGTTGGTCTCCATCTCAATCAAATTAAAAAGGTACATCAGTTAGTTATAGGGTCCACTGTCCAGTGTTGATAAAAAAATTGCGTGTTACCAATAAATGTGTTTACGGGTTGTTTGTGATCAAAACTATACAAAGACAATCCTCTTCTCTTACGGTGCTCAGTTGCCTGAATCTTTATTTCTTCTTCCGCTGATATCTCAAACACAGACCAAGAACTCTCATGAACACAGGCAATATCCTGCCCAGTTGCAGTAAATATGGCCGCCAAAGTGTTGCTTACAACTTGATTAATACCACAGGACCCAGACCTCTGCGCACTCAATGCAAGAGCATTAAAGGCTTTAACCAACTTCTTGGAGTCAATCTGATGTGCGCAAAAAGGTATTAGAGAAAGTAACATAAATGGTGCCCTGTAAACACGAATTATACTCAGACAGGTGTTCACATCATCAGCGAAAAGGTCTGTGAACGGTCATATCTTGAAATGAGTTAAAAACCTCATCATTCCTTAAGTAGCATCCTTCTGGTGTTCCAGACAGAATTTAGGGTATTAGGACACGAAACAAGCTGAAAGCTGAAGGATATTCCTTTATGCTTTGCTCGTGAAGCGTAACTGGGACCCTTTGACACGAGAAAAGGCTATGTATTTTCATGTGATTGAATCTTTCATATTCACGAGACATACAGAATCGTCAAACCATCACATTCACTTACTTTCAAAACACTTTTAAGGGTTGACTCGGTAATATAAGTTTCGGCCTGAACTTCAATTCCCCGCCCAGTGACATAGTTTTTGGGAATGTTATTTTTATCGCCACTGAACTTAGTTTCAATGTAATATTCCCTGATATTGATATCAGGGCACTCTTGAGCGATCCTCTCTTTAGCCCAGTCACAAGCGTACCAAGTGGTAACGGTGACAGCGTTTTGGCCAGCGGCATCAGCAGAATCGTAGACAAATTCCATCATGACGTTGCGACCTAAAATTTTCAGAATGTTTCACTTTTTGACAGTATTACGGTACTAACTTTATAAAAATATTAAAAACTATCCAAACAGTTCGTTTTTCACAAATGAAACTGACATGAGGCTTATCTCACAAACTTAGATCTTCATCATACCTCAGCTGATCCATGAGAGCATCAAACCGTTACATCGGAATCACGAGAGGTTCGAACCTAGGCAGTCGTAAGTTTTCCTTGTCCATCGATAACGGTGCAAATTAAAATTCTTAAAGCTTAAAACTATCCTTAGCAAAACAAAGACATATTTCGCAGAGTCAAACTTTATTTCCCGAATTTCCCCCCCTTTAAGCTACTTCTTCATATGCCGGTGATGATTGGCTTGTAGATGAAATTACAAAATAAAAGGTATAATAAACATCAGATAATAAGCCATCATCATTTAGATTTTGTACAACTATGAAATTAAAAAATGTCATAGTACTACCAACCAATGAACCAGGGCTGCAGAGACTGAAGCTTGCAGTGTTGGCTGACCTCCCCTGCTTTGGCTTTCAGTTCATCAAAATGAGACAGAAGCCAATGTGATAATTTCTGGGCTTGTTGCATGGAATCTGTCACAAAATATGGTACTCTTTGGATCCTGCGCTTTATGACACGTGTGGAGACCCCGCCGCACCTGTAAGTAAACAGAATAGGTGTACGAAGACAGCCTTCAGTATAGGTAGGTAATGGATGGTTTACATCGGGAAGAATGTAAACGGAAATTTCCTCTGGTAAAATAGGCATTGTGGGCGATAATGTATGAGAATTATTTACATAGTTGCCTAGCAGAGCTCATCCCGATTTCTGTAGCAGGAAGCAATTACAAATGTTGCGTTTCCTCCACAAAGGATCTACGTCGCAAATTTTCTCCCCTCACCCTGCCTCGTTGCATTTGAAACTCCTTTTGCTGCTTGCTTGTCAGACTTATAAACAATAGCGAGGCTGAGATCGACCTCATTAAGATAGACACGAGAGGATAGTTACTGTAATAACACCGAAAAATACAAATGAAAAGTAGCAAGGTTTGTATTATGATGTAACCTTCAGCCTTACTCCCGTTAAATGTCTGGGTAGCTGGTCACACAACTTACCTTGTGATGGCCTTGGCACCCCTTGACGTAGAGGCAACGATCGCCCCTTCGGTTGTGGCGATAGGACATAGAATCATTTCATTGTGCACATGATCTCCTTTGATGAGCAAGGGCCCAGCTATACCTTGGGGAATCTTAGCGAGTCCTATCGGATTTTCTATGTTCCCTTTGAGATTTTCAGTTGTATACCCCTGGGATAGTTTAGGATTCCACCACTGTCCAACGTTTGATAGAGAAGCGGAAGTAACTTGTTCAACCCATTCTCTTCTATTGTCGCAGTCTTCGAGACGATAACTTCCTTTGTGAGGAACCTGAAGTTTTTTTAACCGGGGAGGAAGAGTACTTGCTTAACAAATAATGATAATTATCAACTTTATCGAATGTCGAAACGTAGGGAGACTTAACCCAGACTCCTGAGCCGGTGCTTATGGATAAGCGAGAAACGCTCGACGAACAAAATAGACATAAAGTATGTGAAAACAACTGAGACAAAAAAAATTATGCAGGATGAAAATTAACGGCAAGTATACCAATTAAGATATCAACACATATTAATTACCTCAGCAGTTATTAAAATATGTCCAAGGGCACTCCGAGAGCAGGACTTCGTTCAGAGTGGAACAAAATAGTTTCAAATGAGTTGAGGATTTAATTAAAAGTGGTCACTGATTTCACCGAGGAAGTCATATGAAGGAGTTGAGAATGACAAGGCCATTGGAGGATGTCTGAATGGTTTGAAGCCAGAACAGCGAATATACTCGACTCAATCTTAACCGCATGCTTAGTGGCTACAGAACGCTTGTACATAATTCGTTTGGTCAATTTGCTAAGAGCTCACATAACGACTATTGCAACTATTGCAACCTGCCAAACGTAGAGCCTCTGTTCTCCAACTTCTTGGAAATTGCCCTCGAGTTTGATCAATTCTGTTCAATCCTGAGATTTTGTGACAACCGAAAACGGGTGAAACTATTTCACTGATGCGTCCAAGTCAACTTATGGTGCAAGCTGGAAAGGATGGAACGTTTTAGTAGCCATTTACATGCGATGGTTTTGCTTGAGTAGGGCAAGACGAGTCAGAAGACCAAATCTCTAAAAAAGTACAGGAGGAAAGCCTTTTTCTTATAGATTACATGTACTAATTCAAGAATATATTGGCGAGCGGTAGGAACATTAAAAGCCCTTTGCAACTTTTTTAGTCGATATGTAACCACGCAATATTGGCTTAGAGTTGCTGCAGATTCAGGTTTTTCAAATCTATCCTTTCTCCAGTTCATTGGGGAAGAAACTCACGTCACGATTTCACTCCCTGCATCTTACTTGTGGTCACAGCACACTAAAAAGAATATTGAAAAACTGGAAAGAGTACAGAGGAGAGCAACCAGATTTATTTTAAAAAACTGATGACCCTTTGGAGACTTGTTTAAAGACATTGAACCTCATGATACTAGAGAAAAGGAGGCTGCTGGCTGATGTGAATTTTTTATTTATGGCCCTAAATGGCTATATTAAAATTAGTGTCCATTCTTACATAGATTTTTATTCAGAGATTGACCAATTTTCATTAAGACATAAAGATAACTTAACCTTAAAAAAGAAGTATGCTAAAACAAATGTCTTAAAATATAGCCTTTTCCATAGAATATATGATAGTTGGAATCTTTTACCTAGAGAAATTTGCAATACTGCTGAGTTAAAAATATTTAAGACTAGAGCTAAGAAATTTCTATTAGAGTTATGAGTACTTTGATCTGATTATTTCTGTCTGTCCTGTTTTCTGGATGTTACATATGTTTGTCAGACAGAGATACTTCAAATATCTCTTTTATTGGATAATCTATAGATATTTTTACATCATAGATCTACATTCCATTTAAATTCTGACTCAGTTTTTCAGGAGTATTTCATCTATTCATCTAATTATTCATAGTCTTATTTTTTATATAGTTTTTATATATATATATTTTTTTTTATTATGGTGATCCGTCTTTGTATGGGGTCTATGAATTCTTCACGGATTATCCATTGGCTGTAATATCTATCATTTATAATTATTTTAGTTTAGTTTTATTTAGTTTTGCATTGTATATGCCAAGAATTGCAATAAATAAAAATAAATAAAATTACCTGAATTTCTTGTCCTGAATTATTACCGCTGACATGATCACTAAGACATC